TTAAGTCTAATAGTTTTTTGATGGAGTCTTTAGGGTTTTTTATGTACAATATCATGTCATCTGTGAATAAGGACAGTTTTACTTCTTCATTTCCAATTTGGATGCCTTTTATTTCTTTTTCTTGTCTAATCGCAATGGCTAATACTTCCAGTACTATGTCGAACAGGAGTGGTGAGAGTGGGAATCCCTGTCTTGTTCCTGTTGTTTCATTGACTTTAGAGAGAGAGAGAAATGGAGAGGGAGAAACATTGATCAGCTGCCTCCCGCAGGCCCCCTACTGGGGATCAAGCCTGCAACCTGGGCATGTGCCCAGACTGGAAATTGAACCCATGACCTCTCAGTGCATGGGACAATGCTCAACCAACTGAGCAACACTGTCCAGGGCCTGGTTCAAGTTTTCATCTATCCCTTATCATCTGTGCTGTCTTGGGAAAATCACTTCTCTGAGCCCCAATTCCTTCATCTACAAAATAGGTATATTACTACTCACTCTAACCATGCCAGCTATAAACTAAATACGGGAATAATAGACCTTATCTCTCAGGTTTACTATGAGGACTAAGTGAGGTAATATATGTAAAGTATCCAGGACACAAAATGTGCTCAATAAATGATCCCTTTGTTATGATGGTCCTTTGACATTGTAGCCATCCTTTAAGAGTCAGTTCAAAAAATAACCTCTCCAAGTTTTGCCTGGCCTCCCACTTAGAAAGTTTTTACTATAGCTCATTTCATGGCTTGTCTAGAACAGTTCCTACCATGTAGTAGGCATGCAACAAATATTTTTTTAAAAATGTATTATTTATTTATTTATTTTTTTTTTACAGAGAGGAAGGGAGAGGGATAGAGAGTTAGAAACATTGATGAGAGAGAAACATCAATCAGCTGCCTCTTGCACACTCCCTACTGGGGATGTGCCCGCAACCAAGGTACATGCCCTTGACCGGAATCGAACCTGGGACCCTTGAGTCCACAGGCTGATGCTCTATTCACTGAGCCAAACCGGTTAGGGCAATAAATAGTTTCTGAATGAATAGATGGCTTGTAGTTCTCTCAGTGAGCCGTCTCTCCCTGCCCAGTGGGAGCCAGAGTTCATATTTGTTTCACCGACTCAGAGCCTGGCATTCAATTTGTCTATACAATTTTTTTTTAACATCCTCACCCTATAGGAACTTGGAATTTAGTTGAGGAAGCAGGTTTGATCCGGTAATATCTGGGTTCAAATCTGCATCATTTAACTAGGTGACTTTGAGCAAGTCCTTTTATCTCTCTGGGCCTTGTTTAATTCATCAATAAAAAGGGCACAACACTAATCACTCTGCTACCTCATGGGGTTGTCATGAGAAGCCACTGAGAGAGCAATGTGGAAACAGTTTGTGAATTGTTAAGAGCTATAGAAATATAAGGGGGGAGTGGCATGTTATTAGTAACAGTCACAGCCCTCGTCAGTTTGGTGCAGTGCGTAGAGCATCGGCCTGTGGACCAAAGGGTCCTGGTTTCAATTCCATCCAGGGCATGTACCTCAGTTGCAGACTCCTCCCAGCCCAGGTCCTGGT